CCTGCTGCAGTCCCCTGGGACGTAGCTCAGGGGAAGGTGTGGAGTGGGGGCGGGGCAGGGAGGGAGCAGTGGCGGAGGCAGCTTTCCTGGCCCGCTCAGCTGGCCAGGGGATCAGGCTGGCCACTGGAGGCTGGAGCAGCACGCAGCTGCATAGGGCACCAGGAAATTTGGGGCAATTTGGTGCCCCACATTTCCTGGTGCCCTATGCAGCTGCATAGTTTACGTATGGGTAAGGACGGCCCTGCTTCTGCCTTTCCTGCATTATTATTGATAATTCTACCATTTCTGTCTAGTAACGGACCAATACCATTGTCTGGATTCTTGTTGTTCCTAATATATTTCTAAAAACTCCTCCTTATTGCCCTTAATTCTGATGGACATGGATTTCTTCTTGTGTATCTTTGCTTACTTTATCAATTTTCTACACTTCCTAACTTCTGACATATTCATATCTGCCATTACTATCACCTTCCCTTTTCTTCTGCTTGTTATATATCTTACAGTTATTTTTAGAGCTGCCATCACTTCCTCTCTAAAACCAGGTCAGTTTTTTTAACCAGCACGGCCTTCTTCCTCAATTGTGGGATTGTGGCTTTGGGGGCATCTAGTGCCGTGTTCTTAAAGGATTCCCAATTATCATTCATATTTTTCTGATTAAATTCTTCCTCCCTGCTGATTTGGCTCATAATTGTTTTTGGCTTTGTGAAACTGGCCCTATTAAAGCTCCAAGTACAGACATTACCGGTCTGACTTTATTCTGCTTGCACATTATAAATGCGATCAAGTCGTGATCACTTGTCCCAAAGCTGCCATTATTTTTTAGTCCTGTGATCATTCCTCATGATCTGTTAGGACAAGGTCCAATATAGAATTTCCTCGTGTTGACTGCAACACTTTTTGAGTTAGGAAATTGTCATCTATAACGTTTAGAAATTCCAAGGAAGTTTTAGGACTGGCAACATGAGACCTCCATGATATGTCACTCAGAGTGAAGTCCCCCACGATCACACATGGTTTTTTTTCTACACATTGTGGATGGGTGCATAAGGAGGCGGTCATCCTGTTCCCTACTGTGATTTAGTGGTCTGTAGCAGACACCAATACTCCATCTCGTGCTTTATCTGTTAGGACATTGATCCAGAAGCATTCAAGACCATTTTCTTCTGCGTTATCAGTGACTCGGAAACAGGTAATGTTATTTTCGACAGAGTGCCAATCCCTGTCCCCATTTGCTGATTTGATCATTTCTAAATCGGTTATAACCATTGTTTTTAATATTCCAATCACGTGGATCATCCCACCAGTAATACCAACTAGATCGAATTTATGCTCCTAAATGAGCAATTCCAATATGTCTTGTTTGTTACCCAGGCTCCTAGCATTGGTGTACGGGCAATTCAAGATTTTTTTCTCTTCATATCCTTTGATTCCTTAATTAATTTTGTTCTCAGCATCTCAATTTTATGCTGAGTGCTCATATCTTCCCTCTCTTTAGCTATTAGTTGAACTCCTTCCTGACTACTCTAGCCAGCCTGTCCCCAAGGAGATTGGTCCCCCTTCTACTAAGGTGATGACCCTCCGAACTATAGGAAGTATTATGTGCATGTTACATATGGGAATTGAGGCACAGAGAGGAGAATGGTCAGATTTCTAACAGCCAACAGCTCCCAAAGTCTGGCCCTAAGTGACTTCCCTGTATAATAATGTATATGCACAATGGGGCAGAGTTAAGTTTACACTGGTGTTTCCTAACTGCAGAGTGCTTTGCTTTGCAATCTGAACATGTTTTGAACATCATTTGTTGTATGGAATGTTATATAAAGTCAGTCACATGAGACCTCACTGCAGTGTTGTCCCTGCTATTA